GAAAATCCAAAGGAAATAATCCGAAAAGAATTTCCTAGCTTTTCGGAGCCGAAATTATCCCTCCACTGCTCATGATTGGTCCGTAACTACGTCACAATCCTGGTTAACTCGGCAGTAAGACGTAAATCTGCCACGTTTACGTACATATCTAGGCCCGTGACGTCCAGTACTCCCTCAGATCCGTTGCTAATCATTGAAACGAATCGGATTTATGAGGTGATATCAAATATCACCGGGTCTCTTCGAGACTTGGCCGCTCTATGTGTTGCCTAGTCGACGCTACTTTTAGCATCGACGTCAATAGCCCTTATAAGCCGCGGGTGGATGCCCTTGACATATCTGTAGGGAGAAAAAAATGTATATCAGGCACGTCATTGACTTCACCCACGCAATTTCTAAGTACCCCCTTCATGCTCATCGTTTTTTCTTGAGGACATCTTACGTCAATCCGTCCCTTACCAGATGAACGTAATTATTGTTGTTGTTAAGAAAAAAATCCTCCCTACGCAATTACCCCGACCACCCACGTTGTCGTCGATGAATGGACTGAGCTAACAACAAAGTGGCTAACCCCATGCACCCAGGGGTCGCGTAGAGGGAACAGTGGTAACAGAGGAGGGCCAACTAAGAAGTAAAAACGTCGATAGTGTGGGTCCGGGAAGATGAGCTTACTCGTCACAGTAATTTGTTTTGCAAAAGATAAACTGCATTGAGGTAGTGCAATTTATGCCCATCGGAGCTTAATCAATTACGCATGCCCCCCAGAGAAAGGAAGAGAATGAAGGGGAGCCGGCGGCCTGGCCGTACATCGACGTTCGGAAATGGATCCTCACCAAATCTCCGGGATCAACCTCTGCAACATTCACGCCGAAATCATTTCCGGGTGGTTTCTGGACATTGCTTAGGCATTGATCGCATTGACTTGAAAAGAATGAAAAGGCTGACTGACTGACTTAGGGTTGGGACATGCAGTTCCCTGAAATTAAAAAGGAGCGAAAAACAAAGGGATATTCGAAGACAAGGGTTGTGTAGTGGTCCGGGAGAACGTTCTCCCCCTAGTACATAGTGTAGGTGTAGGGATTCTCACCTGTGGTGTGGTAGTGGAGTATGGATCGATAGGTCTCACAACGATTCATTTGTACTACACTTGTCAACTTTTTTTTCCGATTTCTGCTTTTATTTCTAAATATTTGTGGGTCTTAAACTCCTACCCAAATACTCGGGAAAGGATTTCGAATTTTCCGATTCTTCGATTACAGCTATCAATTACAGCTATCACATTTATCGAAGAAGAAATCGTACTAAATAGAAATTACTTGGTTACCGACCAACACTGTATTTTAAGCAGCTTTCAATCGATAGTAACTTGCTTGGGAGTTTGAATCCCACATTCGATCTCAATTTTTGTAACTGCCGATCTGTTGATTCACTGACATCTTCATTCAAATGGAACCCCAGACCATTTCGCTTGTCTTCATGGTATAGAATAGGTCACTTCAAAAATGAAAACCATGGTATCACTATTTATTAACTCTTACTCTTATCTGTTACTACTTTTTATCAAAGTATCAATAATGCTATGACATTTGCTAACGGAATTGCTGTACTTTCCTGTCTCCTGTCAACCTTCATTCCATATATGGAAAACGACATTCGACGGAGCATTTTTTTTTCTGAAATTTGAAATGTTTTGACTCAACTAGTCAACTTCGGACTTCCTTTGAAAATATCATTCAACTAGTCAGATGATTGCTCATACATTCTGCTCCGTTATGCCTCACTTTCGCCGTTCTGCAACGTTTCCTTCATCGTAACCAGTAATTCTGTTCGATGAGGACGACTCGTTTTCCTCTGATTTCCCCCCATTCAATTGCATTTGTGAAGGCACAAGGTCGCCTCGCTCAATGAGTACCACGAGACTCTCATTCGATGCAAACTAACGCAAACCTGATGTGAATCGGAGGCGATTCCGCAAGGGAACCTATTGAGCATTGGTGAAGAGATAGGGAACGGAGTGAGAAAGAAGTAGAGAATGGCTGCTTCTCGACGGGAATTTCTAGCGTCCAAGGGATGCTACTCCTGATGAGGAGCAGTGGGGTATTTGACGGGGGTTCCGCCGTTGAACTGGCCAAAGAAATTGCGTCTAATTCCACTTGGGGTGATAGAAAGTGAACATTTGGATCCTTTGCCTTCTCCTATTTGATAAATCACAGTATTAACCCTAGTAAACCACTTTTTCTTCATACCGAGCTAAAAAGGACTGCTCAGCTGGGTCAATTTTATTTCCGGCTGTGTTAACCAATTCATTTCCTTCTTCTTCCCACTAATTCCCTTTCTCTCACCTTCTTCCGCCTTCCCTTCCCCTCTCCCTTCCTCTCCATGAGGGAAATTGTGAGAGGCTTAGTGGCAGGCTCCATAAAGACTCGATATATTAAAGTGAGAGTCTGAAAAACATATATAATGCCTACGATCTTCTGTTTTCACGACAAAATCCTCGATCGTTTCGGGAGACTATTATGAAGATAGTCGCTGTAATAAGGTATTATCGTTGACGCACATAAGAGTTTAAGAAAAAAGGAAAACAGAAGGTTCCTAGAAAAGCCTTCCTCAACACCTCAGTGTGAGGACATTCTGGGGGTTTTATTTCAATCTGATTCAAGGGCAAGTAAGCTATGACTTTTAAAGGGAACAGCCATGAAACGAGTTGCGGTTCCGAATCGGAGCGCCCTAGCGGTAAAGTTTGACTACACTTCTCTAATTATAGTAATTAATGTTTGCAAGATTTGATTAGAAACTTATGGACATTACTAGAGTAGGTTCTTGACTTCTTTGACTAGTAATCGAAGTCTCTGCAATTTTTTTTCAGAAGAGAATATAAAGTGAAGTAGAAATTACCATGACCCAAGAGACTTTGAGGCTTTTCTCATCCATTCGTTCAGTAAATGATCAGATGAATGTCTAAGAATTCGAAGGTTTGAAGCAACATGGTCAAACTTCACTGTTAGAGCCTCCATATTAGCAGCAACGATCCATCACACCCTTGGCTCTGGTAGGAGTCCTGGTCTGATTCGCCCTGCTTTCAAAGGGGTCACTAACTTCTTATGGACCAAGAAATTTGGTAAAGTAAAGGAGATATCGCATGGTAATTTTGGGAATGGAAAGGGAATCATAACTCTTTGATGTCTCCCAAAAGTCGGACATTAAAAATATTCGTAATACCAGATGGAAGCATTAACAGACATCTGGTAACAATAAATATAGCAGTTCTGAGAGCATGATGTGCTGGATCCAGTTTTTCTGGACCATATCAAATACTCCAAAATACTGGCGCGGAATTTTTCTTATCATGAATTCATAAATATTATGACTGCCGTTTCGGCGAAGTCATCTACCCGAAGGTCTGGAAACATCACGATATTTCTCGGAATATAACCACCTAACTCAATATTCCACGAAATTCCAAAGTACTGGGAGGGTTTTAAGGGAGTGAAGTTGCTGGAATACCTGCAATAATCTAAACCACCTACACGGATCTTAGATGCATCAGACATCAAGTGTCCTGTAATATATTAGTAGTGAGCAAATGGTAGTGTAGGGGTAAGTGGCGCCCTATCACTTACGCATGGTTCGGAGATCGAGTCCTGGGTCGATGCACACCCAAGCCAATCAAACCTTCCAACCTTTCGGATTCGGTTTATTTGTACCAGATTGGTCTAGGATATCAAAGGCGCTGGCTTGCACATCGACTAGCCACCTCCAAGTCATTGTGTAAGCCACACTTGCATTCAAATCGCCACTACGATTCTGGATATGAGTGGAATACGTGGCGCATCCCGTTGACCGAAATGATCAATACCGAAGACTTCATTTTCTTTTTTAGCAATTTTATGTAATAAATGTCAATATTGATGTTCAGTCTTTATAACCTGAAGGAAATGAAGATTATTCAGTTATTACCGGAATCATAATTTAATTTATTATTTTAATTACCTTTTTTAGTCTTACATTACAATTGTGCGTTATTAAGTGATAGTAGGTAGTAATGTGTAGCCATATTATTCCTGATTCCCTTATTCTAAATATGTAATTGCCTATATTAGCCATATAAAAACAGTGTGGGCGAGGAAAATCATCCTATTAGGTTTCAATTTCCTTATTCAATCGTTTTTTGTGTACCTCCTACGCTCCAGTACTTGGTGAATTTACGTGGGAGATGAGAATTGTCGAAAATGACTCCACCCACTCGTGAATAAAGTCGAATATCCTCTTATCCGATTCAATTACCCATTTCCTATCCGCCCACGCTTTCCAGCCTCCAACGAAATAGGCATTAAGGTGAGCCTAATAATGTGAGAGAAGAAAGAGAGGCGTTTTTTCTTGCTGAAAGTAAAATTGGAATCATCGCTATTTTTGGCTTATCAAGTATAAAACACATNAGAAAAAAGCTTGGTCTATTAGTATTGGTATTATTGATTATATTAATATTTATTGGTATTATAAAAATCACCAAAAATTAGCCAAAAGTTTAAAAATCAGCCGTGTAATCAAAAACCTGGAATAGGAGTCACTGGAAAAAATACAAAATTCTCAAATTCTCAAAAGTATAAAATATAAAAAGTTAATCGTGGGAATTTTCTCAAAATAAATGGCACAATTCCTTGCTAATTGCATGGTTAAACACGGTTCTAGAGAAGGGCTTGATGGCTTTGCTTATGAAGAGATTTCTTCGGTAGGGGAATACGCTGACACCTGTTCTTTCTAGATGACGACGGAGATGTGGTGGATGACGAATACCTGTTCAGTCTGTTCGTTGCTCATCAATGGCTCGTCGATAGTACACAGCTTCTGGCACAGTTCATTGTCACACTTCAGGTAGGACTGTTCTCAATCGTTCCTCTTCCCCACGAGAGGTTTACCGTACTTCCTTAAGTTGTCACTCCTATCCTTGATTTGTTTTTTATTGGTAGTTGTTATTCGACGACGTACGAATTCCTACTATGATGGCGTGTTGTGAGGGAAACTTCGCCTCAGACGGGACCCACACCTGTACTTGCTCTCCTAGCACGGCGTTCTTTATCCACTACCTACCTCCTACCACTACCAAAGTCCTTCTTCTACTCGCTTCCTTAATAGCGAGGCCCCTTCAGAAGTGTTTCTGAAGGTGTCACCTCCCGGTATTCCAAAAGTAATGCTCATGGTAATGTAAGTGAGAGTACAGTGCTTGAATCGAATATATAATATCTATCCAGAACGCAAGGGTTTAGCATGCACGCGATTTCAAGGCCCGTGTTCCCTCAGCTATCAATAATTCAGAGGCTATCCACTACTCCCTAGCGAAGTCGAGCACCCAAAATCATAACTCGACTTGAGTAGCTAAAAGTTTTTTTTCTAACGCGATTTCCCCGGACGTTTCGTTAGGTAATTACTGACCTATGAGAGCGCCAGAAAATATCATCAAATGATATGGTTAATAGAAAAGAGAAGAATAAAGGGATTGGACCAGTGCGAATAAGTAATGACATGAAGAAATGGCATATCGAACCTGAAATGTAAAACTTAAGGAATGTCCTTAATTGGAGCTCTTCCCTCACACATAAATGAATAACTATATAAGTGTATAAACAAATGAATAAACAAAAGAAGGGTCGAATAAATAAACGATTAAATAATTATTGAATTATGAACTAATAGGATTATAAATAATCCGATAATTGAGCGGATGGTGATCTTGACTTATCCCTCTCGAAGTACAGTTGCTAGCTACGTCTATAGATAAGTAAGTGGATGTTTGGATAACCAAACAGATAGATACGTAATTGATTAAATAAACAACGATTAAGTGGTCGATCTCATCCAACTCGTAGAACTATTGCGAGCCGTTTGGAATAAATCAATCATGATCAATCATTGATCAATGTTCTTACATAGATGCATATCGTGATCAAGAACTGCTTAATGTTAATCCTTTTCCAAGGAATCGAAGGAGTTGAGAGCTCGGATAGGGCTCTGCCTGGCTGTGGTCTACTGGATTCGACGATTTCCACATCATTTTGACGGTCAACAATCGCTTCAACAGCTTGCGGTTCGTTTCCGAACATTAGCAAGTGATGTACCGGAAGAGACCCGAGAAATGATCGACGTCTCCAATCTGTGAGTTTGTTTGGATTTATGCAGAAATCATACAATATTGCAATACAACCAAACGATTACTTCGATATGAAAGCTAGGACTACCAGCCTATTCTTGTTAATTACTATTTATACGTTTATTTACTTTTGAATGTAAACACTTACATTTCGTTAAATACTGCAGTTGAAAAGTTGGTCCTTTTTTCACTGATCGTTGTATAGCAAAAATGACGGCAGGGCGGACCCTGGTTATTTCTGAGTATTTATTTGTTTACTCTTACTTCTTGATCACTACATCCTTTTTAGCAATCATCACGTACCACGGGGAAGATAAGTCTTGTTACTAGACAGACTGTGGCGCTCAGTAAGCCGATGGGTGGATGGGCTGTGTAGGTTATTTTAAGGTGTGCTGCTGCTGCTTGTGAGCTTTGATCAACCTCGTCTGGAGGATGCGTCCCGCATACGACTTCCTTCCAGAATCATAGCGGCGTATTGAATGCGTATGTGGCTCATACATTGACTTACGGTAGCTAGCCGATGTACAAGTCAGTGCTGTAAACCAATTGGCTGACCCCGGAGAAGTAGAAGGGATGGCCGGCATAGGCGGCGGACCTATCCGGAATGTCGATTAAATATTTTTCATTTATTGACTCATCTGTTCAATTTAAGAAACTAATATAATAGTTGTTTATTTAGATATTCGCTTATTTTAAAATACTGCTATCTTTGAGCTTTATTTAGACTTGTCGTCGTTTTGTGTACTTTTCGAAGCTCTTAATTCTTCCCTTTTATTGGTGAGCTTTCGGCATATAGGGCCTTCGTCAGACCTCAATTATTTACAATATATTGCTGCATACTGTCAGTTACTATCAGTTACAATACAAAACTCGAATCATACCAAGTCAACCGGAAATATTGGCGGAAAAAGGCAATATTCTTTCATGACATAAGTCATCTCATGGGCTGTTATGATGGTTCGAGCCAAGAAGAAGAAACAGATTTTTTGTTATAATTCTTATTACTCTTTTTATTACTCACTCATTAGCTGCTTATCAAGGGATTTCCATAAATTTCTGATTTTTCCTCTTGAAAATATACAATCCTAACGTGATTCGTTACATTCAATCTAAGATCTAATCATATTTTTCATTGCAGTGAGGAGTCGAGATCCGTCTTTAGTAAGAAGGGATGTCTTTTGAGCTTTCTTTTGTCCTTATCATCTCTTATCACTTGTTACCACTCTAACCAACTGGCACTTCAATCCAGGAATTTCTGGGGCCCCTGGTAGTGATCAGAGTTATTCACTCTTCAGGCTTCACAATCTTTGATATTCGATTTCCCATGTAGGTAGAGAGTATAAACATATACCTGTTTTGCCCAGAAGTCCTTTTTTCACGGAAACACCTACGAGGAATTGCTTCATTGGATTAATAGGGCCTAAATTTAGCGATCCACGTCATCGATGCCGGCCATTCCGCCTTGGGTGGCAATTTCATCAACGTTCGGGCATGCGAAAACAGCATGCCGTACCCATGACGTCATTTCCGTCGCTTCTGCCCCACCCTTCGGTTATGAGGCTCATAAGAAGGATACAGAATTAATTTCATACTTAATTAGCTCTTAAATGAGCAGAACTGCGAGGCCTGAGGGCATTACCCACTTCATTATGGGCTGAAGAAGGAAATCTTAAAGTGTCTTGGCCTGAAAGGAGCTCAAGGGACTGGCGGATATTGCTAATGCTAAATGTTGAAAGCAGTCAGCAGTTGTTAAGGATGAAAGGGAAATTTCTAGCTTCTCTTGCCCCTTCCATGCTCTACTAATAAGAAGATAACGTCCAGCATAAAACAGTAGCCTTTTGTGATTTATGGGGTACGCCCCACATTCTACTTCAACTCGGAATTGTAGTGGTGTTCGATTGCGTATGAGCATCTTCCCGAAAGGATAAAAGCCTCGGTTGTTTTGCCAAGTCTGTAGGCTTTGTTGTTCCAAACTGACTGGGATGTTTATGTTTAGTGAACCAAGTACCCAGAGAGAAAATCAGGGCTTTCACAGAAGTTTTATCAGTTAAACTGAAATTATTTAACCTATATAAATTATAATAGTAAATACCGATGATCGTATCGTATGATCATTGTTTTAAAGTTTTTACTCATTTTTATTCCTAACTTCGTCCATAACTATGATTGAAGCCGTCCTTTCTGGTGTATAAGCAGCGCATCCCTAAAATTTGTCATCTTCAGTCATCCTTGCTTCAGCTACCACAAAAGAGCGTTCCACACAGAATCATGGATGAAAGGATAAAAATGAAATAAAAGTAATAAAATTCATAATTGAGCTGAATTTCAGACCGTCGTACGCGTGGTTACGTGCGCTTTCTGTCCGGCAGCCGGTTGCCCGACAGGTTTCGTTGTCATTTGAGCAATGGAGCCCTGAGGACATATCAACGTCGTTGTCGCATATCGACTATAAAGTACTTAGTAGGATTTCTGTGAGTGCAAACTTATTCATTTGTTTATTATTTACATGTTTGTCTGTTTATTCAGTTATTGCATGCACCACGTGGAAGCCTAGTGACCTTCTTCTTTTCCCTCTGAGGAAATAAGGATATTTGGGAAGCTTCTGTCTGCTTAAACCCACTTTCGTTTTCGATGAGCTTCCTCTTCCATGTCGCGGTGTTTGAACACAAAGATACTACCACCTTGTATTGAGAAAGATTGCTGGGTTACTCAAATTACTCGAGTTGTATACACCTACCTAACCTACTCTCTTGAATTCACGCACTCATGGGTGCTTCGATTTGTACTTGAACAGATTTTTTGATAAGATAAACCTCGAGTCTGAAAATCACCTGCCTTATCAAATACTCAAGTAGCAGTAAATAAGTTAAATAGCGATTATACTAACTTACGACTTTGAGCAAATTCCAGATTCATGGCGCAACCCAAAGCAATTTTCAAACCGTGCTTCCCTTTGGTTGTACAATTGACATTTGTTTTCCTTCTTAGATAGCTGAGCTTAAACGTTACGTCAAAGACGGGTCACCAGCAAACACGCCAATGTTGGAGCGATCAATATCTATATTTAATGTGAGTTACTGATCTTCATTACATGTCCCATGGATTAGGCACAGTTCACGAATTAAAGTTCTTTCAAATTCCCAAGTAGGGCGAGCCTGTTGTATTCACGTTATGGATACCATTTGGGGCACTGTTGCATCAAAAACGACCTATGTTGGCCGATGTGTACACCCACAAGTGGACGAGTTTTGACGGCGTTGTAGAGACATACTGCAAAATATCCTATTAACCAAAGACCATACTACAACTAGCTCCACCTGTTCAACTTTATTTTAAATTTTCCATTCTTTATATAACAATTACCCATTATTAAAAAAAACTTCTGAATATTTTAGAATCTCTCCAATTGGGTACAAATTATGGTTCTCAGTAAAACAACGCCTAAGGAAAGGGCCATTATGGTAACAAAATTTGTAAACGTAGGCAAGGTCAGGTGACATTTTGAGTATTATTTACTACTACACATTAAATTTTCGTGATAACTGGTAGTTTTGTATTTTTTCAGCATTTGCGTAAATTATGCAATTTTAACACTTTAATGGCGGTCATTGGTGGAATCACTCATAGTAATATTTCTCGTTTATCAAAAACAAATTCTCAACTGGCACCAGAAACTAGGAAGGTCAGTCACCTTAAATAATTATTTAACTGACGATCTAGGGCTTTGAAAAATATTGTAAAGAAATTGACTCTTCTAACCATTTTGAAACAACAGCTAACATGCGTTAAGGCTTTCTCGTGGGATTTTTTTCTAAAGCAAATCTCATCTTCACTGATTTGAACTAAGAGCTGTAAAGATCCGAAATCTAGTCCCGAGCTATACTAAAGCTTAAGCGCTTCAGGGTTTTCTTGAATTAGCTGGGCAAGATCAAGAGAGGATTAGCTTTCAATGGCTTCTCGAAGTGAAAGACTACGAGATTTTCCGACGACAAAGAAGCCATAGAGGATTTTGTTTCCTGATTAGGTCCAAAGGAGCAATTTTTCTTAATTTGCGAGAAGGGGCTCTTTGTAAAAATCAATTATATCGAAAATTTTAACCCAGTATGAATAAGGAGTGTCAATATAGGAGCCTTTGTATACATGAATCAAGGAGCAGACTAAATCCAAAAAGGATTTGTTGAGAATTCTTCGACTAATAACTTTGTTTTATTGATTTTTGTCCCCATGTGGCAGTTGTTTTTTATATTATCATGTCTACTTATTTCAGGAATTAAATCAACTCACAAATTTGCTCTCGGTTCAGTCGAACTTCGGTGAATACAGGAAAGCACTGAACAGTTTAGGATCACACTTTAGGATTCCAATTATGTGGGTTTTAGAATAAATATAGAGCAAATAGAATTCCCCTGGTGTCTATGGTCAAGGTTCTAGAATTGAATAATAAATCACTCTTTATATATTTCTCTGCATCCTGGTAACGTACCTTAGAGTAATGCTTGCTGCTGACATTCAAGCTGTTACCCTTTTAGAATGATCGAATTCCCAGCCTTATAAGGTTTGAGAGCGGTCCCCATATCCAGTGTACTTATCTGAATCTGATTTATCTATTGCTTTATGAAAATCAATCGACGGTCCCTTATGGCTCTCAATTCTGTCTATGTAGTTTTCCGTGAAACTAGAATAGTGAATTTTTGGGTTAGAATAAAATCGTAGACAGGGAGTACCCCAAAAGAGTAACATAATGGTGTTGCACTGAGGAGAAAATGCCTAGCTGAGATGGGAGTTGAACCATGCTCTTGAGTCAGTAAAACAAAACACCTTGGAATTAAAGGCGACAAGGGGCATTTTCTAACATTTACTGACTTTTCAGAGGTGTTCATTTGAAAGACCTCGTTGCTGCAACTTGTTGTGGTGCAAATTTCGATAAAACAATGACCGTCAGTTTAAGGAGGTGGGTCACGCCATGAATTCCTCTTCTAGAATTTCGAGATTTACATAGTTCTGCATCCGTCATTTTCCGTTTTTTNGATGGGAGTTGAACCATGCTCTTGGGTCAGTAAAACAAAACACCTTGGAATTGAAGGCGACAAGGGGCATTTTCTAACATTTACTGACTTTTCAGAGGTGTTCATTTGAAAGACCTCGTTGCTGCAACTTGTTGTGGTGCAAATTTCGATAAAACAATGACCGTCAGTTTGAGGAGGTGGGTCACGCCATGAATTCCTCTTCTAGAATTTCACGATTTACATAGTTCTGCATCCGTCATTTTCCGTTTTTTTTTAGGTTGTATCGCTTAGCAACTTTGCTTTCTCACTTTATGATCTTCAATCAACGACAGCACAATTTTCCAGAAGCAAATCTGGACCTCATCAACACCCTGAAAGTAAGTTCTGGATGCAGTCACGGTACTTTTATTGGTAATGGTAGTGCTAGAAACACTAAAGTCTTAGACATACCCGTATTTTCTCACATTATATCCCGAACTCGAAATCCGTTTGATGACACAGCTTTCTAAGTATTTTGAGGTTAACCTTTCTTTCCACACAAATGCCGAAGGCCATGAAAGTGGGAGGTCCCTTTGAAAGTATATTGAGAATGAGAAAGTAGAGAAGTTTGGAAAAAATATGAAAAAAAATTTTAGGTATCATTAGACATCCGTTACAACGATGAAGACATCTACGAGCTATCACTCCGACGAGAGCCACGGACTTTTATGACGGTGAGGATATTCCTCTAGTAATTTCCCATTGATGTAAAATCTCTGAGATCTGATTTTCAGTTCCAACCCAGCCCTCCTGTTGTGTTTGCCGAATGGGCATCTGGCGTGTCGGCAACTCTCGATCCAGAAACCGTTAATAAGCATGTCACGGCCATGGTCGACGCTGTAAGTAGCCACTTTTGGAATTGACTTTGCTGAAGAGTGACCCAATATTTGTAATTCCGGAACCAGAATGGTCCCTCAAGGAACCATTTACCGATTACATAGCATTTCCGAATTCAGCTTCATTTTCGAAAAAATCAAAAAAATGTGGTGGCATGGCGCATCCAGAAAGAACCAGCGCTGATCACTTTATCGTTACCTTTTTGTTCAATATTCACCTATTTTTTCGACTTCTTTTTGACAGTTCTGGAAGACCTTAGCGGAAACTTTTCAATTTCATCAACATTCTGAAAAGCGGAAGTATCTATGAGCTGTTCCTGTTATTTTTACTAGCACTCCTAAAAGTTGCTGTTGATGTTGCTCGAACTGATAGCGCTCCTGTCTTTCCAGATCCGTGTCCTCATACAACCCCCACAACCCCCGGCATAGACCACCACCACCCTTTGCCTCATAGACTTTTTTGAATGATTCCAACAGGTCACAGACAATAATCAGTGCATTCTTCATGAAAAAATGATTACCTGCCGGACTTTTTCTGGCCGTTGATTCTAGTCATATTGAATTTATTCTTGAACTATGCCAGTTTCGTTTAGGTTTTCAAACACTACGATCATGACCGTGACGGTTATATCAGTCAGGCCGAGTTCCGTCAAATCTCCGGTAACTTCCCCTTCATCGATCCCTTCGGCACCATTGATCTGGACAGGTATTGGCATTCAATCATAAATGAAGTATTAAGACACCGCCTCATTCAAAGGATCGCACGAGTTTTACCTACTCAGCGGTTTCCCAATGAGTTGAGGGTCATTTAATGTTTGAGAGGGCGGAGAGGGGTAAGCAGGAAAGAGGGTGACAAAGAATTCTCACTGGTTATCACATATCAGATCTTTGGAACCACTTATGGTTCACAACAATACATTAAAACTCTCTTCCGATCTCAAGAATTTTGTGATCCACCTTCTTCTAACCCGTGTTCGACTTCCAGGGATGGCCAAATATCTCATGAGGAGCTCAAGGCCTATTTTGTGAAGGCAAACAACACTTCTGTAGATTTTCGGCTCGGGTTCAAGCATAATTTCCATGAGACGACATTCCTGGCTCCGACATCGTGTGGTCATTGTGGCCGTCTGGTAAGTCTTAGTTCTACTGATATTGTACCTGAATGAGGTTGGCAGTATCTTCCATTTTTTTGCAGCTCTGGGGTCTGATTCGGCAAGGATGGAAATGCAAGGACTGTGGTTTGGCAGTACATTCTGACTGTAAAGCGAATGCAGTGGCCGAATGTCGGAGAAAGTCGAATGCTCTCGTTGACTGGATTGCGCCGAGGAGTGAAGGATCAAGGCCTAAGATATTTTCCACTCACAAGTTAGTATCAATTATTCTTTTGAATAGCTATTCATTCGATGATCCGGGAGAGGGTATTCCCTATTCCATACGAATAGGGTTTCTTGTGAGTTAGACAGTAAGAGAGTTCCCATCGGATCCATAACTCGTGAGCAGAGACCTGAGAATCGTTTCTGCTTGGCTCTACTAAGTCTTCGTCTTCATGGGACAAAGAATTGTTACTGCATTGGTTTGGAGAATGGAAGCGTATGGCGATTATTCCAGCTTACTCTTACCGAGCCTTCCATCTCTCTCGGACGTGAAACGTGAACTTGTTGTAGCACTTGTCTGGGGGGGGAGGGGGTAAAAAAGAACCGAAAAGATAGGTAGGAGCATCGAACTTTTCTCGTCCCTACTGTGTCCTCTTCCCATTTGAGTGATTTGCTTTTCAAAAATTCTGCGATAGCGCATGAACGGCATTATTGGACTACTAGTACAGTCTTCAGTAGAATCGATCTGCTTTTCAGGAGAGGTAGCCGACCGAGAACAGTGTCGACGATTTCGTCATCCCCCTCACCGGAACCGTCTTCACTACCGGGATGCAGCCATGATGGCGAGAAGTCAGGATGCCTGAACAAGCTACATTTGCCATCTATTCGCAGTGCGCGACCGCAGTCTGAGAGTGCCGATTGCTAGTAAGTGGATCATCATAACCTTTTTAAAGGACTATGTTAACTGCTGGTGAAGGGTGGGATTAATGCGATAGGCGCAGTCCGGTAGAGATAGGTCCATTATAAAGAACTGTGAAAGTTTTTTTCCGTTGTGGACCTTGAAATTTTTCTGAACCGGAGCTCTTCGTTATGAGCATGGCGTGTTGCAATAAAGCCTGGTCATTACCGTATACTTCCGCCTTTACTTTTCTAGTATGCCTTCAAGTAACGTGAATATATGAAGTGGTGGTTCCGATCCCCTTGCAAATCACTGCAGACCCTTGCTAGTTGTCTCGCCGCGCGGCGTGCCGTCCGAAACAAATAGCTCACCATTCGTTTGAAAATAATCCAGCTCAATAAATTTACATTTAGCAAAACCTTCGGTCTATCTCCTGATGATGATCATGGCTTNTTTCTAGTATGCCTTCAAGTAACGTGAATATATGAAGTGGTGGTTCCGATCCCCTTGCAAATCACTGCAGACCCTTGCTAGTTGTCTCGCCGCGCCGTCCGAAACAAATAACCCACCATTCGTTTGAAATTAATCCAGCTCAATAAATTTACATTTAGCAAAACCTTCGGTCTATCTCCTGATGATGATCATGGCTTGGCAAGCCTTGCATGCGAAGAGGTCTTCGAGGACGACTCCAGCAGTACATATGAGAATGGAACCTGATCCGTTCGACAGCAGAACAAGTGACTCCTGTGGAGAATAGCCGCACCCATGGGAATGGTTCTTCCCATCATGTGGGCGCATATCTGCGACTCCCGAAGGACATCGCATGACGCATTAGTCTATTGCCAACCAGTTATGATGTGCCAATGTGATATAATGTGACTCCTATAAAGTCACACAAACGGTGTATAGGAGCTCAAATTTTTGAGATATCTTGAATGTTGCATTAAATTGCTAAATTTTCACTAACTGTTGTTTTAATATTGCATCTTGAGGATGTCCGAGTACAGCCTTATCAGGACACATCCTGGAACTTTCAGGAGGCGACAGTAAGAAGCTGCTGAGTAGGTTTGGAATGTTTAAACGGAGTTAGACATATCTAGACGCATTTAGTAAGGGAGACTGTGTACGTAGTTCAGGATACGCTTATTTCGCTGCCGCTGCCGCAACGCACAAAGCTCCGCGTGCGGTGATCGATATTTGTCCTTAACTGCTTTTCGTCAAGTTTGAACGCGCCTTAACCGCAGAAACCCAATTTTCCTGCGCCGCCAAGTAAATCGTGCTGCAGTTCTGGTTGACGTGATAGTTCAAAGGATTTCATGCAGTCAGATGACAGAGCCCGACCATGTGCCGTTTTACAGGAGCGAGAAAGAAGGGGGGAATGGAAAGGGGGGCGGGGTTGAAGGTCAGCTGGAAATCAGGCAGCTTTGTTCCAGGGAACTCACAGCGGCGCTTCGCTTGCTGGCTGTGGCGGGCCCGGGTTGACCAACATATTTATGGCCCCAGGGCGGATTGAAGCTGCACAGAGCGGTCAAAATTCTCAGCAAGGGGGTTACTCGTAAGTGGGCCATTTCCCATTCATTGAGGTTGGCCCCCCTGGCCTATGGTAGAAATTGTGTTCTGTGAAGAAACGGCATAAATGACTGACAGGTTGTTCTTGGTTCCCCATGAAACACCGCTTAAACAGCTTTTACAATATTTATGTATAGAGCCATGGGTGAGCTCGGCCCTCAATGGGACCCTATCTTTTTGGATTCCATTTTTCTTCCTTTTACTCCCAAGGAAAACAACTCACCACTATTCTTCGAAATTGGGAAAAATTACTGTTTCAGCTGGCATAGAAAAAAGACATGGAAGGCTCCCATTCAATCACATATCACAACCTTGTCAGTACTGCATTACAAAACATTGGAAGCTTGAACTTGATGTATGAATGGCAAAAGTGGATATGTGACGCTAACAGGAGCAAAAATTCGCTAGGGGAGCTTGGTTACTACAGTAATCTTACGGTGGTATACTAAGAATGGACACAGAGCTTCACGGTTACCACATTTTATTCTACGGCATTGCTTTATTTATTTAAATACACACATCTTAATCTCGCCACATATACGAGGCATTGAAAAAAGGGCTTGGGCATGGGTGTCCCCACTTAATTCGCCTGCTTGACGTCCAATACAGTCGCCCGGCCGTAATGGTTCACAACCAGGCGTTCCAGCCGAGACCAACCACGTTACTGCACTAGTAGAGTACCCGTAAGGGGTTTCTGTGTCTGTATATGATTGGGACACACCACGAGCTTCTATTCTTAATCCTCTATCCTTTGACCTACGCGAGTGATACTATTTCGAATTTTACCGGTTGACTAAACGTTTTGTTGAAGAAATTTATATGTATAATATGTCATTAACAAAGGTGCTGTGTATCGATATATCATAATTTTTATAATGTTATTCAGTACATTTTAGTATATACATCCAACAGAAAGTTGTAGTGCTCACCTGCTCTTATTCTGTTCCCGAAAATCCCCTTTAAATCTTCAATTAGCTGTACCTGACGTCCCTGATAAGGAATCATCGATAATGTCCCGATTCCATTACCGTTCATCGTTCAAATAATTCCCGAGCAAAAACCATAATGGCCTCGGTCATTTTCGGGAAGATAAGAAGGGTTAGCCAAGGCAAAAGTCGATTTTCAAATTAATTTTTGCTTTTTAAGTGACATGAATGATTATAGACGGGCCGCGCTATCTTTTGAAACTCTTTCTTTGAATATGATATCAAAAATTGGGTTTCGTTGAGCACGATAAATGGTGGGGCGGAGGTGACGTATTTGATTAACGAGCCATTCGTTGATTTTACAACTACGCTGTTGCCCCGAAAAAAAAACCCTGTGTCTGAACTTTCTAAATCACCTTTTAACAACATTCAAGCCAATTTGTGCCTCTTGCGGAAGAGTTGGACGATAAGAAATTGACGATTTTTGTGCCGATCTGAGGATAGCCGTGGACATAACAGAAAAACCGTATTACCAGTTCCCGCCCCATGAGCACAAACACCGCCCACGTCGCCAAAGTCTTAATATGCTGTTGAGCCACCTGAGTTGTAATGAGCCTCGTATACTTTCTCTGCATTAAATATGAAATTGCCCCTACAGGGCACTGTGTCACCATAGCAAGCTTTCAAAGTCATCTTCAGTACTGAACAAATGCGTGGCGCATCCGAGAATCTAACCAACATATCCCCTACACATTCATGGCCCTCCATCAAATTCCTTGTGGTAAATATTAACGTTTCAATGGCTGCATAACTGTTAGTGCAAAAAGAGATCTCATTCGATTGAGATAGTAGTAGTAAGTGCTTCTAACAGTAAGTACGGTGTGCAGGTGCTTCAGAGGAGATACATAGGTGGCCCAGTAAACGTACCAGTGAAACAACTTCTGTGACTGCCTAGAAAATTGTGCTGCAGCTCTCTTAACACCAACCAGAAGGAGAGGATTTCTGGGTATTTCAGGACTGAAATTCAGATGGAAGGAAATTAGGGTTGGGAATGGAGAAAAAGGAAGGATTCAAGAGTTAAGGAAACTTACTCCTCGGCCAAGTGGAGGTTTTACACAAAATAAACATAAAATAAACAATGTGGTGAATAAATCATGCATATGTAGCACATGTACGCATTTCTTGATGGAAATACGGCCTAAATGTACAAAAAACAGAATTAACGACATACACATGTCTAGCTCGGAATACCCTATGATTTGTAGTTAGTGGTCCGGACCTTTCCAAAACCTAAGGGTAAAGGATTACTTCATGTCTATGAAGTAAAGCTCAACCGCGACAAGGATCATACACCTAGGTGAGGCTTTGTGGAATCATCTCATAGGCAGAGACTGAAGCTCACTTGAGTGGAAGACTGTAAGACGATTTCACAAGTAAAAGTTGGCAGGGATTGCCTACCACGACGATCCCGCCCACAAACAAAGTCCGACTCATTTGGCCATGCAATAACCTATGAAGCAGAGAAAAGCCTGCAGATAAATGAGCTAACTGGACACTGCTACTGCAAAAGCGTATTCCCCTTAAGAACGATTTTTAAAAATTACAAGTAGAGTTTTCGAAATAACACAGGGCGATATGTTATGGCAATGAATTCGAGGTGAAAACAAAGAAAATTATATGCATGGGCTCTCCATAGCTGGGCTTGCCTCCAGGAATCTCTGCAGTCTTTATCAATGTAAAAAAGGTCACAAAAATAGAAATTTACAATTTAAACTTCACTAAATATTGGTCCCTATTTCGACACAGGATACCCTGTCTTCTCAATAAAGGGTGGACGATAAGCCATAGGAATGGCTTGAGTGCTTCACAAATCTGAAGAGTTTTCTGGTGAACAAAAACTAAGAACGGCCTTCAAATGGAGGCTAAAGGTCTACGATGAGCACAGAATCGGCTCATTCGTGGTTTCAATCTTCGGAAGACCATACATGCAGCATACTTGTTGAATTTCGATTATGGTTAGGAGGTCTCAGAACGATAGCTCGAGTGGAGACATCCTCTAATTGGTAAGCTTATCAAAATCGTAAGCGATCGTGCGTAATGGCAGTTGCTCATGGGGTACTGGGTCTACACCACTTAATGTTCGTTCGGTCCCAAGAATTTCCGATTTATGCCGTCCCCTCTCGAGGCAAAATGGGAAGGCAGATGTTTTGTTGGGCAAAAATTATTGGTCACGAGAAATTTCTCATAGGAATGGTATGGAAATGTGACGCAGCACCGTTTCACGGACGGATGATTCACAAAATCAAAGCAAAAACCCGAAATTTCACAGAAAGTTTTAAACGAGAGATGAATGCCACCACATTTTCCAGGTATGACTGGCCCGTTCGGGAGCGAAAAAGACCCAAACCCTTCTCTGTACTCTGTTCAGACAGTAGGAGACCTAGAACAATGTTTCTGACTAATCCACTTACGCATAGGGTACAGTACGACAAGCGCGGTTCGACGGTGGTGGAGAAAGACGCATTGGCATTA